CTGTCGACATCAAGGAGCAGATGGGCATCCTTCTTTCCGACAAGACGACTGCAAAGGGCTTGTTCAGTGCACTGAAGAAAGAGCGTGCGGAGGGCACCATGACGGACATTGTGGATGGTGCTTTGTACCAAAAGGGAGCAGCAGCTGGCTCGTGGAGTGACCTCACACTCACTATGAACACAGATGGAGCTCGCGTTTTCAACTCCTCCAAGTCGTCTCTGTGGCCACTTCAGTGTGTCATAAACGAGCTCCCTATCACCCTGCGGTGGAGCAACGTCCTGCTCTGTGGGTTGTGGTTTGGGCCTGGTCATCCTGACATGGGCATGTACCTTGAACAGTTTGTGCAAGAGGTTGGACAGGTGGGCGTCATCACATGGAACTGTGAAGGCCAAACAGTCCAGTCAAGAGTACGGGTTGTGTGTTGCTGTGTGGACGCACCAGCACGTGCAGCAGTCCTCAACGCCAAGCAGTACAATGGCTACTTTGGTTGTAGCTTTTGCCTACAGGAAGGGACTTACCTCAATGGTGAGTGAAATGAGTTCACAAGGACTAAATTCGACATATTATTGAAGGTCAGTTTTTGCAGAAATTGAAGCAAATTTAGTTTACAACAAAAATGCCAGGGGTGTACCTTCTGACACTCCAGTCTTGCATATCTACTTGTTGCCCAATGAAGAAAAAGTAGTTGCAAATTTTAACAGAATGAAACAATATTTTTTACAGATTTGCCATGAAATGTGCAAAACAAAAGGCCCCTTAAATCTTTTCTGCATATTTGTATAGTTTATACAAACTTGGAAATCTTATTGGCTTTTTTAACAGGTTTAATGCTCCAAAGATTGAGGGGCTACATTATGCAAACGTGTAAAATGATAACTTTTTTTCAGGCTCGGTGAAATACCCGATAGCTAAGAATCTCGTGATGCCACCAGAAAGGACGTCGGAGGGCGTCAAGCAGGACATGGCGGCTGCCCTACAAGAAGGTACACCGTGCCATGGCGTGAAAGGACCAACACCTCTCATGAACCTGCCAGGGTTTGACCTTGTTTGGGGCGTAAACCCTGATTACATGCATTGTGTTTTGGAGGGCGTTGCTAAACAGCTGTGCGAGTTGTGGATTACTTCTACAGGGTCAGAGTTTTATGTTGGGGCCCCATCAACACTGGCTAAACTCGACAGGCGCCTCTTGCAGATCAAACCCCCCCAATGGTTCACCAGGCTGCCCCGATCATTGCTTGATAGGCAGTACTGGAAAGCTAGCGAGTGGAGAGGGTGGCTTCTCCACTATGCGGTCCCTTGCTTGACGGGAATTTTGCCACAGAGGTACCTGGACCACCTCTGCCTGCTGGTGAATTCGGTCTACCTCCTTCTAAAGGACACTGTGGTGAACCGGGACATTGCGACGGCCTCTGATCAGCTGACAGAGTTTGTTGTAGTCGCGCAATCACTTTATGGTGCACAAGCAATGACATTCAATGTGCATCAACTGCTACATTTGGCAAAGAGTGTGCAGAAGCTTGGACCATTGTGGTCACACTCAACCTTTATTTTTGAGTCTGGTAATGGGCAGCTTTTGAAGCTTGTTAGTGGCAGCAATGGTGTTCCGCTGCAAATTCTGGAACGTTTCGTCATGCAACAACACCTCAAGAAGATCATGAGCACGGTAGAGCTGACCCAGGAGACAGTTGCATTTTGTGCAGCAATGGCCCCGCCTCAAAGGGACATGTCCACACACACTCTAGGAAGTGGTAGGCTGTACACAGCCTTCAGTGAAAGTGAGCAGACTGCTCTAGGGGACAAGCTGGGCCACATTCCTACTACAGCTGTTGAGTACCAGCGTATTTCTATCCGGGGGCACCAGTACCACTCTGCTTCATACAAGCGCCCCAAGAAGACGAACAACTCTGTCTTTGCAGCTAGCGATGGCCACCACTATGTACTAAACAAGATCTGGGAGGTGGACAGTGGCCAACAATTGTTATGTTGCTCTCCGCTTTCCTGCCGTAGGGATCCGAGGGTAGACCACCTCTTCAGATTATCTGCAGCACGCAGGCCTTCCCGCATAAAGGTTCTCGAAACAAGCCAGGTGACTCGACTGTGCGTGTCAATGGTCCATGCCCACTGTTTGTCTAGCATCCCTAATATGTTTGAGCGAGACTAGATGCGGGGGGAAGTTTTCATTTGATGTAGTTTGGTCACTACTATCGTAAAGTTCTGAAAGAATGCCCACCCAAAATGAAGATACAAATGGTGAAAAACATGGGGTGGGCTATCTTTGGGGAATGCCACAGCAAAATTTTATCAAAAATTAATGATTGACACCCTGGCACCGGCTACAAACCACGTGACGATTGAACTGATACCGCAGATCGCGGACACTGTAAATTCGCGTTTCACGATGCAATAAACACGCAGGAATTCACTACAAACTCCTGTGTCACACGAAAGGATACCGCATGTTGTGGACACAGCAGATTCGCAATCAACGGTGTGAAGGACCCACGGAAACTCGCCGAACACTCGCATATCACGGGAACGAATACCGCAAATTGCGAACACAGCAGATTCAAGATTTATGGTGCAATAAATGCGCTGGAACCCGCTACAAACCTGCCTGTCACGAGAACCGATACCGCGCGCGCAGATCGCGGACAAAAACGTGAGAATCTGCTACAAACTCGTACGTATCAGGAACAAATACCGCAGTTCGCAAACGCAGCAGAATCGTATTTCACAAAGTAATATACACATGGGACCAATTAGCGTGGAATTGAGATCGCGCGCGCAGATTTAAGTCATGGTAACGGATACCGCAGATTGCGGATGCAGCAGATTCGCATTTCACAGTGCAACATACACGCGGGAACAACCCGTGTGTACTGGGAGCCAATATTGCGCGCGCAGATTGTGGACAAAAACGTGGGAACCCGCTATGAGCTCGCTTGTCAGACTTGCCGGTACAGCAAATTGCACGGTTAATGCGATTCCCGTCGGACATCGCGTGACGTCTGGCGGGAATCGGGTGGTGGGCGATTTTTCGTAATCTTTATTACAGATATTTAGCCAAAAAAACGGGATGGGTGATCTCTTCGGGGCGGGCATTCTCTCGGAACATTACGGTAGTATAATTTTGTCTTTCTCATGCTCTAAGGAAAGACACTCATCTTAAAGCCGTTTAGTTGATTTGACTTTATGTTTGGGCAAAAGATCTACTGTAACTATGTGGGCTAAGCATATATATTTAGCTCATTTTAGTCCTTTCTTATTTTACTTCTTAAGAAAATCTTTGTTTTGTGGAAAATGTTTATGTCCAACCATCTTTCAATATTCCCATCAAAAGCTATGGCAAAAGTATGTTTCACGATTCGGCTTGGCTTGTAAGCAGCCTGGCTATGTGACTTTGAATCCGTTGAACTGAATATATGTACATGTCTGAGTAATAATTGGAAAACATGTCTGTGTGTTATGAATCACACTAATTTTGAGATTTTTTTTTTTTATTTTGCACTTTTCAGGATTAGCGTTCCCCTTAGGAAGCATTAGAAATTATATTTCTTGCTACAATGCCCATATTCATGTTCAGCAACTCACAAGCATATGTTTGAGCACCATTAGGCATGTTTTCATATTTTTTATGTTTAAGAAACTATTGAAATTATTGTATTTCTCACTACAGTCTTTGTATTTGTGCTTTGCAACTCAAAATGTTGGCCCTATCAGTATGCTTTTTTTATTTTTATGGTTTAAGTACTGTCTGCGGTTACCATATTTCTTGTATTGCTATTCACAAGTGCACCAGTAGGAATGCTGCAGCCATTTTTAAGCATTTTAAGCATTTTTAAGCAAACACACAAAAAATTTAATTTCGATGCAGACGTGAAATGAGAAACGGCTACTGTAAGATACCAAGCATCTGCCCATTCCACACCAAGTGCTACACCCAAATTTCTTAACATCTGAAAAAATGTGCACAGTACATATATTATGTGTAAAACTGATGACCTAACAAGTGGCCATTGCCCAGTGTTTTGTGATTATCGTCAAATTTTGAGCTATCGCTTGCTCGGTATTTTACAGTAATTCAATCGTAACATTAGTGCATATATACTACAATGTTCAAAAACTATGCTGCTGCAGTTTTCAAAATTATAGCAAAAAAGCTTCTCCAGGTATTGCTTTGTAAGATGTAAAATGGTTTATCTGTGGCAGACCTATTTTTATTCCATTGTTTGTTAAAAAAATTGTATCATGAGTATTTGTTACTATATATATTAATAATTGCTTTAGTTCATCTGTCTCCATTTATTTCTTGTTATTGGCAGCACAATATCTAGGTTATTAAACAATTTATAAGAACTGAAGTGTTTGTCAGCCTGGACTACCTCCTTTGCAATGCATTCTTGAATTGAATTATACAGGTTCAAAATGCATCAAGAAATTGTGAAATTCAGTTTCACATTTTTATAAATAAAAGCCGCTAGGCGTCGCATTTTCACTTTGAATCTGTCTAAGCACAGTGACCTCTGGAATTCACTTTAATATAGCGTAACATAAACCACGTTTACCTCTGCTGCTTCCGGTGGAAAAATTGTTGGTGCATAAAGCAGCATAATCAATATATTTCTAAGATATTTGAAAGGAAATGCTTAATGTCTACATTTTTTATGTTACATTATGAATTCCATTTGACTGTAAAGGTGTGAAGCCAATCAATGTGGCATAATGTTTTATTTTCAAGATTATAAATTATTCATATACTTTACTAATCCTGAATAGAAGTTTATGCTACTGTCAGGCAGATCTATTTAAATTCTATCTGTAGTTTCTTTTGTTGCAGCTGTCTGTTTGCCTCGGCAGTTACTAAACCTGTGTTCCATCACATCCCCAATTCCTATCTGGCCACACTATTGGTTGCTGTATCAGAATACAGTAGAAACGCATATTTCTACGAAATATGAAGGCCAACAGCGGAAGGGTTATAAGGCCAGTCCAATACATACTTGGCATGGCGCTGTCACTTGCTTGAGGATCTCTGCACTGAAGAGCTGACTCTGATCTGGCAGTCTTGTGTCTCCTGAACTGATCTACATGCCAAACAAAGAAAAAGAAACTTTTTACCTTTCTAAAGCAAATCATGACGTCTTGAATCTCAGCATTCATGCCATGATACAATGAAGTTGATAAGATTGGAAAAATGCAGAAGCAACATTGCCAACCTCCTTTTCAATAGAGGCCACAAAATGCCATTTATTATAGTGTGATGCATTTTAAATATACTCCCGTGATGCATTCACACTGAATATATTTTAACTAATATTTAATGTCATGCTATAAAGAAAAAAGCACACGTCACATGAAGCGTTCTATACCTTTCCCAAGGGAATGACTAACCTCCTTGACACTATAGGCCGACTCAAATTAAGACAGACCTCTGGAGTATGTTAGATGCATTGTCAGCAACAATCTTTATGCATAAAGGTAGCTAAAGAATTTAAAGATGGGTGTTTCTGTTTCGAGTTGGGTTAACAAAATAACAATATATTGTGCTGCATTAATCATAGGATATACAACGTGCAACTCCATTTAACTAGGGCAATTTTTTGGATTAAATAAAAAGCAATAATGACCTAGACGGGCCTTTGTGACCTGGTTGTGGCTCCTGTCTTGAGTACCACATAGAGTTGATCGGTTTAGTAGCTCTACAAGAAAAAAAAAATCAGTGATTAAAAAAGACTATTAACTGTTACACTTGGTTAATTTTCGGTTGCTTACAAAATTATGTCACCTGTGTTACGATCAGGACGTTGCTTTGGATGCAACGGCGAGGCAGATGCTGGTGGCGATGGCAGTGGTAAGGATACAGCAAACTGGTAGCTGTCATCAGAGTCCGAGTCCGTGCTATAGCGCCTGGCTCGCCTACGCCGCCTCTTCGGCTGTTCAATCTCACTGTAGAGGTCTGACAACTCCTCAGCCTCAGGAAGCCTCTTCCGTGCATGGTCATATGATGCTGAAGAATATTGAATGGCAGTTAGATGTCGCTCCATAAAGGCCGTAAGTATATGCAATGGTTATACATCATGTTCAAATTTGGCATTATATATCTTGTACCAAGAAAAGCCCCCAATTGAAAGTGCCTACAGCAAACATGTTGACGCGAGCGCAGCTGAGTCAGCATGAACCCGTCTTCCACGCCCGTGGCTCGAATCCTGAAACCTGCTATCGTTTTACCTCTTCCCATTGCTGTAATGTTCTAGTAAAATCGAAAATCTTACCATTTCTTGGGGATCAGAATGTTTGAGGACCGAACTTTCTAGACCGAATCTGCCAGGAGGCAGTGCGGTTACAAAAGGGACTTCACGTGGCTGCGTAGTGCCACCACCGTCAAAGGATGTATGGGTTAATTGTTTTGTTTTTATTTTGTAGGCACAAGTCTGCCTTATTAAAACTCTGTTTTAAGTATTATAAAAAAAACAGTTTATTGCTTCATTCGTGAAAGCATGTGCACGGGTGCGGCAAAAAAAACCCATAAGAAACATATTCATCCAGTTGGCATCTGTGCTAATACAGACTTGATTCAAGATAAAATAAATTGTTAGCCTCACAGTGACTGATAACACTAAGTGGAAATGGAATAATCTATGAATCTATGAGTAAATACTCACCAAACCATCCAATGGGAATGCATCGAAGTCGCCGCCACTCGGACGTCGGCTGCTCACCGTTTTTGACCAAGGATTGAATCTTTCCAGTGTCCTTTGGCCAATAGCAGATGTCCCCGTCTAACCAGCTCTCATGTATGAGTGCCACACCATTCTCTTCATCGGGAAACTTTGCGATAATAAATGGTTTCTCTGAGAAGGATGAAATGTTGCATTTTAAGACATCTACCAGTGCGCAACTCTAACCAATCGGACACGTCAGCAGCGACATCGTCGCTCCTGTGGCCTTTGGGAAAAGGTAACAGCAAAGCCAAACATAGCATCCCAGAACTCGTCTAACATAGCTCAATTGAGATGCAACAGTGGGTAGACTGCAAACTTGTCACCCAGAGGCAGTCGAACACATTTGAATGCCACATCTTGTAGGGGCCATGATGACACTGTGTGTGGGCAAGAAACTAGAGAAATATTAAGAAGCGACGACCGGCATGGATATGTGTACAGATCCTCTACTACAGAGTACCTCCTTCCAACAAGCACTGGCTTCTTGGACAAGCATGAAAATGCAATGCTGTGAACCTCTATGATGCCACCATCCAGAAGTGTACATGTGTTGTCTCGTTTGTTTGTTGCAATACAGAACCTTCCTGGAATGTCGACTTTTCTGTACTGAGGGCTCCGACAGTGTGATGGCAGTGGAAAGTCTTCATGCTTCCCGGAAAATTTTATTGATTCGCTTGGTCGGATCTTGTCCTTGAAAGCAACGGCATTTTTTTTTTCTGCTAGCCTGTTGCAGAGTTGTTCTAGTGGCTTTTCTGGTTTCCTCAAACTCTTTTTGAAGTTTTGCATGTAGTTTTCAAATGCAAAGGCACTCCACCTGTCCAAATGACCGTGTGCCCTGACATCATTTTCCAAGTGCAAGAGCCCATGAACATTGTATGAAATAAATTCGGTTCCAAACAGTGACTTGCAGGTCTCCACAAAGTAACGCAGAAGCTTTTCAGCATAATCAACAAGCTCCTTTGAAAGCCTTGGTGAAGCCAGGATTGTTATGGCACAATGGAGAATCATAAAGTTTGCCTGAAGGTCTGATCGAACTGTGGATGGAAAGATCACAGGACCAGTGTACAACAGAAGAAGTCTGAATTCCGTTGCTTTCCACATCTCCATATCCCAAAAACTTCGAGGCCGACGACTAAAATCTGATGGAACAAAATGCCGCAGTGCTTCGCTTTTGGTGGAGAGCTCATCCTTTACATTTGACCCCATCCGACAGGCTTTTGGTCCTTTAAGCCAGACCCTCATCAGCTTATGCACGACACCAATGCACACCAAATGCATGTAGTCAAGCGGGACTTGTGCTACCATGTCAATTGGTAGTTTCTCAAGTATGCTCACACCAGTGTGATGACCCTCATCAACATGGCTCCTGAAACTGTCATTTGTTCTTAAAGGGGCGTCTAACTCGGGGAAGCACATCCTACCAAGCGAGACTCCCTCAGTAGTGCACCTACTGCAACTTGAGTAGCCCGAGTGACCTTTGATATGTAGGATGTAGGCTCTAGCTGGAGCATCACACACTAATGCTGTAAGCTTCACTTGGACGGTCACATCCCTAATGGTCACGCCGGAGTCAAGTGCCGCGTTTAAGTCATCTACGAGTGGTTGTAGGAATTCATTTGCTTTCAGAGCCTTTGAATGCCCATAGAACACACCAACTGGAAATGGTATGCCTGGTCCACAGTTAACCACCTGGCAAAGAATTGGCCAAAACTGTTCTTTTGTACTTTTCCTCAAGGGAAGTCCATCAATGTTGATGTGCAAATTCAGAACTCCGGGAAAGTGTTGGACATTCTCAAGGCTTTGCTGAAGTTGAGTAGCGAGACCAAAATGACAGTACTGGCCGCCACCTATGTTCACAATGCCCATACACATTCTAGGTGTTTGAAGAAGGGTTCTAGAGCACCCTGGCAGCTCTGCAAAGCAAGGGTGTGTGCGCTGAACCTTCAAAAGATCTGTCAAGCACTCATGAGTTACATTGTGTCTTATAGCCCATGTCTGGAGCATTGTTTTGAAGCTCTCAACACTATTCTTCTGTGTAGCACTCACTGATACAGATGTGCTTGGCACCAGTTCCTCAGTGATGTGGTTTATGTCAGCAGAAAACTGCTGTTCCCTAGAGTCAAAGGATATGCAAGAATCATCCGAGATGGACCCCAGTTGGTCTTGTGAAGAGGGATCGCCTGTTTCACTCGATTCCTGCTCAGAGCACGTCTCCGACTCGGAGGAGAGTGCAGCATTCAGATAACCTCTCTGAGGGTTTGACAAGACAGGGTTTGACAGGACAGGGTTTGTTTGCAGGGAGAGCTCATTGTCAAAAGTTGACGCTGTAACTAAGTTGACACTATCTCTGACTGCATTAGAAATATGACGCCGTAGGGTACGTTTTGATTTTGGCATTGTCTGTAAATGAAACAAAAATACATCCTTAATGGCTGGATATTCACACACGACATGAGACACCTCAATAACATGAAATGTATACATGCAGCAGCTTCGTTCTAAATCTAGAAATAAAGCCTATGATTACTGCAGCTGCACTGCTGCAATGGGCAAAGATTATCTGGTTTTCAAACCTTTTGGCTAAGGACGTACCTGAAAGTCACGGATGATACAATGATTTATATAAGGCCTTCAACAGCCTTTGGAGACGGTCGTAAAAGCGCAGCTACATATTTCGATAATGTTCTGTCGTGGAATCTGGTATGTATGTACAGTCGGGAGCAAAAGTTTGCGGGGCACGGGAGCGCGTGCCGAAATGCATCGCCGCGCCGTCCGACGGCGCGCCGTCGCACCAAGAAGCAGCGCTTTGCGCATGCGCGCCTTTCGTGCTCGCTATCATGCCTCTTTCGCTCGTTTTTTTCTGACGCACTCCTGATAACACGAGTCGGCGCCAGGGGCGCGAGCCAGCGCTTACTGGCTGTCATGCTGCGCGTCTGCTTCAGCCTCCTCAGCCGCCGCGCTTTGTGACGGAGCTCCCGTGGGGGGATGGGACCAGGCGCTTCGTCACAAAGCGCGGCAGCCGAGGCAGCTGAAGAGGATACGAGGCATGACAGCCAGCGAAACGGCAACTTGCGCCCCTGGTGCTGACTCCGGTTATCAGGAGTGAGTCGGACAGAAATGAGCGAAAGAGACATGACTGCCAGCACGAAGGGCGCGCATGCGCAAAACGCGACTTCTTAATTCGGTGGGGCGCCGTTGCACGGCGCGGCGATGCATTTCGGCACGCGCTCCCGTGCCCCGCAAACTTTTGCTCCCGACTGTACATATATACTTATGAAATAGTTATGTTTTCTCCTGTTTTGGAGGCGTTCCTAAACTTTTTCCATTCTGTATTGGAGGCGTTCTTAAACTGTTTAGACCGCGACACAGCACGAAAAAGCGATCATCAACTTCTTCCCATATTAATATCATCAAACATGCTCATAGGGGTAAAATACAAGGGCTGTGTCTACAGTGCCGTCCGACGGCACTCCAATCGCGCCTACATTGCAAGTGCCATCCGAAAAAGTAGGATGGTGCGTATATCACTGAAAAGCTCGTCTACAGCCCCCCCCTACTCTTCCTCTCTCCTCCTCCTCCCTCCTCCCCCTCCCTCCCTCCCTCCCCCCCCCCTCCCCCCCCCCCCCGGCCGGCTTGCGTTCACGCCGCTTCGCGGCGACAGTATGCGGCAGCTAATTACAAAACTATTGACCCATTTGGTTTGCCGGCTGACCAAGTTCCGCTGTACCCGATGCACCTCCGGAAATGAAGCCCCATACCGTTTCGTTCAGCGAAGTTTCGACGACAACGTTCGCTTTTCCTGTGTTAATCGTAAATAAATGTAAATATCGCCAAATGCGTCGGCAAAATAAAATTTTCGAGAAAACAAAAACAAAAAAGTAGGCCCGCACTGGGGAACGAACCCGGGACCACTTGCTTATGAGACAGAGATCCTACCACTTGTTTTATACGAGACTTTCGGACGGCACTTGAACGCGCGAGTGGAGTACCGTCGGACAGCACTTGAACGCTCTGCAAGAGTGCCGTCGGACGATATTCTAGACCACGACCAGTCGTGCTCTAGACACTACGAAAAAAAAAATGCGCGTGACCAACGCGCTGGCTGTCGCACACACAGCGAGCCACAGCCCAAGCACGCCTTCGGCGTCTTTTTTTTTTTTTTTTTTTACATTACCAAGATAGGATATCGAGAAGCACGAACTTTTTCCTGATAATTTGTAGCCCCAAACACACATTTTCCACGACACTAAGAGTTTTGATGACACCAAATGAATTCTAGAAGACTGAAAAACAGTGCATAGAGTCAACACTCAATCCGGCCTTTTGCCCAAATTGCAATCCTCACAATCCTTATTATGTCTCTGTTCGTCAACTAACTCAAAGACTGAAGCCCAGAGGTCGATTTTAAGTGCCCGTTTGGACCGAAATGCCTTTATAAATTGTCCGAATTACCAAACAGTGCGAGGCTACGAGGTACCGACCGTTTACTCGCTACAGCACATCAAGAAATGCAAAATCCAAATTCATGCAAGACATTTAAAACAGTGAGCATAGAACGTATACGATCCATACCGTGGGTGTCGTTCATTATTTAGAGTTGCAAATTCTTCCAACGACGAGTGAACAAGCTATGACGACGAGCACGGTGACGACGAACAAACCGCGCGCGCGAGTTCTCAATAAAGATGGCGACCGGCAAAACGCTAGCGTTCATACACCGGCACTAGTTGCGTATTTCAAAGTAAAATTCTTAAACACTATTCCAGCTAAAGGTCTACAAAATAAATTGATTAAGATGTTTATTATTGCTGAAATTGTATTTATTTAACGTGTTTTGTGCGTCTAAACAAATACGAAAATAAAGTACGTTTTTCATATCCTCGTTTGATCTCCCTAGAATATCTGGTGGGTACGTGAGACGATGCACCGATAGGAATCTCCTAGGGACATACTGGGGATGTCATATCCCAAGCAGTAGGTTGGGAGCTTGTAGGGATATCCTGGGGATATTGTGTGTTGTCTGGGAACGACATCGTGCACAGGAAAGACACTTTTGTCTTGCACAGCAGCAAGCCATGCTGGAGCTCGTGCAATCAGTAATTGCTAATAACTTTAAATAGACTGCAGGCTTTTAATTTTCACCTTTATTTGTCTAATTACCATAACATAAGTACTTAAACGAATGTTGTAATGGAAGCTCCAATAACGATTACAATAGCCAAAGAAAACTTGTTCAAAAGAAAAAATCAACGGCATCTTTTAACTCGGCCACTTTATGGTAAGGCCACTTTATGGTAATGAACAGTGTCACCAAAATTGTGCAGAACATGCAAACTGTATAATCTCATGAGTACGATATCTTGACAGCAACTAAAGACGTGCTGCATGAAATAGCGCTTAATGTGCCACCCTTAAAAAAAGACTAGAAAGACCACGTGTAGGCAAATTTACAGGGCCCACCAAGCCTATACGAGACATGAAACTGTGTCTTATTTCATGGGAATGCTAGCTGTGACGGTTTCATGGAGGCAAAGCACCAGCCTACGGATACCCAGTTGATTTGAATGTTGGTAAAGCTGCCCGTAATCTGACGGAGGCGTATTGCAAAGAAAGTGCCGTGATATTGAAATTTGTGTTGTATTTCGGAACATCCCCATATGATTGAAATTAAGCCTCAGTCCTGCACTGGGCCGCGCCAGATGCACTTTGTCAATTTGGCCATGTATATATATATATATATATATATATATATATATATATATATATATATATATATATATATATATATATATATATATACACAGGGTGTCACAAAAGAAAATTTACACGGTCTTTTTTTACCGCAAAAATAAACTAGGCATCGCCGAACGCTCATTCTCCGCCCAAAGGTAGAGGTAGAGGTCACAACCAGATGCCAAAGTTTCAGCCCGATCCCAAAACTTAATCAAAAGTTATAAGTGATTTCTAAAAAGTTCAATGGGAAAATGGAGCCCATTTTTGCCCGTTTTCGATTTCTAGTGCCATAAAGCCCCATGTGTTTGAAAACTCCTTCGGCCGCCATTTTCCCATTGAAAGTTTCAGAAAATCACTTATAACTTTTGATTAAGTAATCAGATCGGGCTGAAACTTTGGCATCTGGTTGTGACCTCCAGCGCTACCTTTGGGCGGAGAATGGGCGTTCGGCGATGCCTAGTTTATTTTTGCGGTAAAAAAGACCGTGTAAATTTTCTTTTGTGACACCCTGTGTATATATTATATAGTGCTTAGTAGAATCGCCCAACCAGGGGAGGTCGCCCGCTCAAAGTTGAAATGGCAGCTGGGCCGGGGACAACACGGCGATTCTGCTTGATGCAGGTGGCGGCCAAAGGTGACTCCTGAAATCGTCAGTTATTGAATGGCTCATTCAGTGAAAACATGGAACGCCCACTGATTGAGTCATCTAATCACTGACGGTTGAGGCAGTCACCTAAGCACCTTAATGCGAAAGGGTGGTGATAAGTGTAGATTGACTGGCCAGCAAAGCTGCTATGTTTTCCTTGGCCTAGCTACAATTTTGGCATCGAGCGAGCGACCTCCCCTTCTCAAGCTGTTGTATTGAGCGCTATGTAATGGAACACTGATCTTACAAAATAAGACACAGTTTGAATGTTCCATATAAGTTTTCTGAGCACTGTACCAAGAGCATCTTAAAGGTTGTGTCTGTCCCGTACAGATGGTTCCAAGTATTGCCCCAAATTGGGTGCGCGGAGCCCACAGAATATACCAGTCTAGCTACCGTACAGGCATATATGACAGTTAGTAAAAATTTCAAAAAAAAAATTTGTAAAAAAAAATTGGGGAGATCGGTGGCTGAGTGGTCTAGCGCACACTAGCTCGGAGCACGTGGAGCGAAAGCTAGCGCTGCAGGAACGAGGGCCGGTTTGCTGATCTTGCGGCCGCGGCTGCGGCTGCGGCCAAGAGGGATTTTTCTGTCACGTGACAAGACCCTTGGGGACAAGGAAGTACCTAGCGTCCCCGCCTAATGGCGGAGTGATCCGCATCGCTTCAAGCACAAAAGCCTAATTTCGCTCGCAGAAACTGACTGCAGGGACTTTCAACTGGAGTCCAATTGACCGCCCTCTTATACTGTAGGAGCGGCAGATAAAGTTACGGCCAGGAAGGGTAAAAATGAGCCAAAATAAAGAAAAAAACACTCGAGATGAAAGCGGTGGCAGGATATTTATATACCTCCGCCAGCGCCAGCTTCTCGTGCTTTCTACTGTGGTTGAGAGGTTAGAGCGGCGGCACTTATCGTCACGGCGTGAAAGCCCCGGGTTCTAATTGCGCTAGGAACTTTTTTTTTTTTTGTATTTTTTTTCACGTGTTTTACTTTTTAACTGTGATCCTTTTTAGAAACCATCCACTTGCACTACTGCGCCTTACACGGTGTTTAGTGTTAGTCCCTCCTGTTCAATTGAAACACCGGTAAGAAAAAAAAAAAAAAAAAAAAAAAAAGATTGAGGCAGTAATTCTTTTTTTTTCTATTTGACTGCACTCTTACTCAGAATGTTGACGTGGCCTTATGAACTCTATAAAATCATTGGGCGGGTACTTCTGTCTCACCAGTTCATTGTTCATGACCTCGGAAGAGCGCATACATATCTCTGGCTTCCTTTCCTTTACCGCCACACCTCATGCATCTGCCGTACACTCGGCGGAAAGTTGACATTATCTTCCCATGCCCGTCTCTTCGTTCGCCAGGTAACTGTGCTGCTGAATATCTCTAGAATTTGTTGTTTCCGTTTTCCAACTGCTCTAATTATTTTCATTTGTTGATCCAAAGTAATTTTAGGTATTTGCGTTAGAGAGGGGGTTTGCGATGGCGACGCCTGATTCATTTTTGCATTCGGTTGCGATCGTCTGCTATTCTAACTAAAATTCAACGAGTAATGTGCTAATATTACAAGACGATTGCCGCAACAAAATGTAAAGGGTAAAAATATACCTTTTATCACATTCCATGCAAGTAAAAGTATGATCTCTTTTATTTCGGTTTTACTACTTTCTCAGACGTTTGACTTGCTGCTTTGCCTGTAGGATTTCGCTCAATCAATGCATCCACAGTTGCTAGTCTTGTTTTCTTTTTGCTTATTTTGTGAAAGTATTTTTTTTTAATTGTCACAACTGCAGTTTTTATTAGTACTAAACGGGCGTCTCCTGTTATTGAAAGGAGTCGTAGCAAGAGCGTTGCATATTTAAAACACATAAAACTAGTTGCTGGGGAAAGGATGCTTGTTTCGGCTCCGTTTGTGTGAAAGCCATACCGATGCTGTTACTTTGGTTTCCTTTTAATGAACATTATGAAATGATTGTATTAGCGCGTTAACTTGCCTCGATCTTTTTTTTTTTCTTATCGGTGTTTCGATTGAACAGGTGGGACTAACAGTAAATACCGTGTAAGGCGCAGTAGTGGAAGTGGATGATTCCTAAAAAAAGATCACAATTAAAAAGTAAGACACGCGAAAAATACAGAAAAAAAAAACACCTCTCGACCACAGTAGAAAGCGCGAGACGCCAGCGCGGACGGAGGTATTTAAATTTTCTGCCACCGCTTTCATCTCGAGTGGTTTTTCCTTTATTTTGGCTCATTTTTACCCTTCCTGGCCGTAACTTTTTCTGCCGCTCCTACAGTATAAGGGGGCGGTCAATTGGACGCCAGTTGAAAGTCCCTGCAGTCTGTTTCTGCGAGCGAAATTAGGCTTTTGTGCTAGAAGCGATACGGATTTCTCCTCCATTAGGCAGGGACGCTAGGTACTTCCTTGTCCCTATTGAGCTGGTCACGTGTCAGAAAAATCCCTCTTGGCCGCAGCCGCAGCCGCGGCCGCAAGATCAGCAAACTGGCCCAGGGATCCTGGGTTCAATCCCAACCCCTGCCCATTTCGATCTGGATGAGCATCGTACCGGCGTGCGGCCGTGCATCACTACTGCGTGGTGCACTATAAAGACCCCAGGCTAGCGGTTGTACCCCATTGGCTAAATTGCTCATCTACAGCTGAGACAGCAGACGCCCACTGTGCCAGACTAACTTCCGGCTGTATAAGCATACACACAACAATTTTGTTTTTGCTTAGTAAAAATTGCCCCCACTCAATACATTTTCTTCACATCCTGCAAGTACAGCTTCTGATTCTTCTTGAAGTCTAGAAATGCGAACTCAGATACTATTTTGCCGGACCCCCACTCAACAGCTTGTCGCACAGTACTCATGCCACTGCTGAAGAGCACTTGCTGTTGAGTGAGGATGGTACCTGTGTACGGCCTCATGAGAAGCCGCCGTAATGGGTACGCAGGGTCGCCGTAGATTGTGTAAGGGCGGCCCTGCGCAAGCTTTTCCAACTTTTCGCAGAGGTCACTCTCGCGCAAAATGCCTGCATGAAACAGAGAAACAAGAAAGCATAGTACTTTCGACCACTTTTAAAAACAAAAGTTGCATGGTATTCATTTGCCAGTGTGCTCATTTGGCATGCTCCATTTTGCAATGTAGTGTGAATGCTGCATTATAATTTTTTGTCCTCTGTAGAACAGCACACTTTTTCGGAGCTAAGAAGTAAATATTGTTGTTGCGAACCTCAAAGAAAGCAAGTGCTGCATGAAATAGATAGTTAAATCGGAACATGTCACT